AGAAAATATGCACATTTTTAATGGACACACGACGTTTTACGCAATAATAAAATACAAATAAAATACAGAAGTTTCATAAAAGCGTTGTTTAGTTATTACTTGTGTTACACCAATCGTTCTTCCTCCCCTTCTCCCCCCACTCCTCGGAAAACCACAAACAAAAAAATTGCGTGATTTTAACGCATCAGCCAATTGAAACCACGGCCCTCAAACGCCAGGCAATACCGGATGAGTTTAATAACATGATAATAGTCCCGATTTTCCGGATAAAATTGATCGAAAAAAATCTATGTGCGATTATATCCTTTGCAAAAATTTTTAATCGGTTTTCCCGCACATTTTTTCAGTGAATCAGCATCACAGAAACACGTTTCAAATACATTTCACAACTGTCAATCAAAAATTTCTATCAAGGAATCGGATTTGTTGGTCACATTGATACTTTTCTTACCCCACATCTGATTGGCTCAAGTCTGCACGTAGGAATTTGGATACCAATGAAAGGCCTTGCCGCGTTGCACGTTTTGCCTTTTTGTGCTGGACATGAAGCTGGGAGCGTGAAGGTACGATAGCTCTTTAAATTTGACTAAAATTTTGCTCAAAAGTTAACTTTTCTTTCTGTTATTGCAGTTTCAAACAAGGTTGGCAACAGTACTTGCTAAAGGAAGGTCGAAAGAGTCAATTTAAATATGAATTTGTACAATTTTGTGAAAAATTTGCCCGAGTCGTCAAGTGTACCAAGTTTAAGTGCGCAACATTCAGGAAACATTTCCAAAGTGAGTTTAATCTTTTTTATATCATTTCAACATCTTCTTTTATTATTCTTGGTAAGTAAGTAGATTTTGGGGAAAAAGTAATAAAATTATGCGAATTTTAGACAAAACTTTTTAACTTTCGTGATTTGGCGCCAACTGGAATAGTCCACATATGGCGCCAAATTTCCTTTGCTGGCCAAGACGACTCAGAAAAAGTTACAAATATGGTTTAGTAAGATGTTTTTAACTTAAATATTTTATTCTTTTTTTCAGAAAGAACCAAGGTGAAAGCAGGGACTTTTGCAGCCAAATATTTCCAGTTGTTGAAACTCGAGTTGACATTGGACTTCAAACGAATTGCAAAGGTGCGTTTACTTACAATCCTCAATCCCCGCCTCAATCCATACCGGACATAAATGCAAATTAAAGCAACAGGAAAATTTATCTCTGTCATTTTATTTGAATTGTTAGCTTGCAAGTTCATCACTAAATTCGAACATTTTTTAGGTGAAACGCTCAGGCGAAAATTTGACATGACTTTTGCAACGAGCGAATAACGGAGTCAGCGCCTAAACGTATTTTTTTATTGAAAACTATTAAAAGGTTTATCTTTAAAAAACAGTAGTACGCGTTTGCTTTACCGTTTTCCCTTTTTTTTCTGTCTTGAGTGTTTCCCGCCAAAAACATTGGCGCCAATACCAATAATTTGTGGGGGCTGGGCCTTTACCTTTCACTCGTTAGCGAAGACTCCGTAGTCCGTGATTTTGAAATGGTAGATAAGATTGCAATTTTGTCTAGGATTAGGAGTAGCTACCATTTTATCATCAGCATCGTGGCTTGATAATCAAATGATTATTGAATTGAATT